TCACACCCTCCATATTGACTTTATAACAGCTGGTGCTGTCCTCTTACTCTCGGCAAGTCTCCGAACTTTTCGTCCCAGTCCAACGGTGCTAAAGTATAGTATCAAGGTGTTGCCCACAAGCTCATAGAAGATGACGAGTATCGCGACTATCTTATTCCTGCGGGATGCACTGTTATCCCAAACGTCTGGTGTGACATCTGCGCATCATAGCGAGGTGCTGCTGAATTCCACCCTCCAGGGCAATGACTAGAGATCCGGCTACATATCCTGATCCAGATCGTTTCCTGCCCGAACGATTCCTACAGGTCGACGCTGACACGCCAGCACAATTCGACCCCATGAAGCTCATCTTCGGATTTGGGAGACGGTGCGTCGGTTCTCCTACATGGGTACCTCTCGGTGCTGATACTTGATCCTATTATCCAATCTAGGATCTGCTCGGGGCGCACTTTCGCTGATTCCTTTGTGTGGCTGATCGCGGCGCACTTGCTGGCCACCATGGTTGTGTGTAAAGCACGGAACGCAGCAGGAGAAGAGATTACACCCGCAGCAGAGTTTGCAGATGGGCTTGTGAGGTGCGTGTTTGCTACTTCTCTCCGAGTCAAAAGTCGATGAAGCCACACATCTGACTGATTTGTGAACCTGGGTGGTTCCTTCCTTACAGCCATCCATTACCATTCGAATGTGACATCCATCCACGATCACAGAAGGCGAAGGAGCTCATCGTGTTGTCAAACCTAGAGACAGTTGCGTGATGGATTGGGGCTGTCAAATGGTGGTTACGTTTGTAATGTCTTGTTCGTTTGTAAGCAACTTGTACAGGAATAGTCTGCGGCTATGTTGTGTTATACCTGATGTGATTACGCTTTGAGATGAAGCGGTCAGAACATGCGACACTATCATTAAATTCGAGAATGCATGAAGTGTCACACATGACTCATCTCGAGCATGTCATCGATCTACAACCAAGCCGTGAATGGGAGTTAGAATCTACATAATCATGCAGCACTGTGCGCATCGGATGCCAAGATAAGCTCCCTGGCCTTGGACGATCTTGGCCTACTCGCCATGGCCCGCCGGCGTCGCAGTGTATCTATACGCGACTTCGAGTATAAGCATGGCCGCAGACCCGTGTATATATAATTAGAGCTAACTACTAACTAACTCTCTCTAATCATTCTGATCTCATCTTTCAGAAACTAAATATTTTCAATGTTCACTAACTACTAGATAATTCTCTCTAATCATTCTAATCTCACTTTTCACGAACTAAATCTTTATAATCTTCGCTAACTACTATACAAGAATTACATAACCTAGCTCTATGCAATGCTACTGCATACATTATACAAGTTAACTTCTTCACATAAGCAGAACGCACAAAAATGCATAACACAAGCCAGAGTCAAACACCCAACCACCAGCACATATCACTCACAATATGCCACTACTCAACATGGTATATCAAAGTTAGTAATTATACTTTATTATATGGCGGGACTCGGCGATTTCAAGTTTTTCTCTTCTTTCTTCGCATTCCACGGTTGTTCAGCGCCGGCCACGACGACCCCACAGTGCGCTCAGCCATGCTGCGCGCCCCAGTCGCTTCTCGCCTCCCTCTCCGGTCATACTCACTGCCGCTGTCGTCTTGCTGAAGAGCAAGACGATGGCAGCTTCCTTGCAGCTGCCGCCCTCTTTCCCGGTTGCACAGCCGCCTCGTCCCGTCGCTCAACGAGAGAGCCACCCCGCCCCCATCGCACTCTCGCCCCGCCATCACGCGAGACAGCGAGACGGCCACTTCCTCGGTAAGTTCTCTGTGTATCTTTGCCCCGCCCGTGTTGACTCACACGGTCGCGCCGCATCACTCTCCTCGCACGATCGCGCCGCTGTCTCGCTCAATAGCGAGACAGCCCCTCCGCCCTCCTCGCCGCGCCGCCGTCTCGCTCAATAGCGAGGCGGCCCCTCTCGCCCTCAACGCGCCGCACGCGGCCTTCTCGCTCGACAGCGAGAGGGCCGCGCCGCCCTCCTTGCACGGCCGCCTCGCCGTGCCGCCGTCTCGCTCAATAGCGAGACGGCCTCCCTACTCTCCTTGCACGGCCGCCGCGCTGCGCCACCATCTCGCTCAATAGGCGAGAGGGTTGCGCTGCCCTCACCGCGCCACCCTCCTTGCACGGCCGCCTCGCCGCGCCGTCTTAGAGCCCCATCCGTCCATCCATCCCCGTCTCTGGCTCTGCCACCGCCCTCGCGCCCTTCCAGGTAAGCCCACTACCCGCACACTCCCGCACCGACCGCCGCGTGACCAGCAGCATCGGCCATGGTGCACAAGGCAGCGCGCACGCACACAGCTACTCCATCCCTGGCCAGGTTCCCACAAGCAGCTTCGCACCGCCACCGCGCCCAAGCCCGCCCACGCAGTCCGCACAGCTCATATGCGCGCTCAGCGCTCAGCTTCGACGGCGATCGTTACGTCCAGCGCGCAGATTGCTCTCTGCGCAGGGTGATACTGCTGATCCTCGATCTGACCGTAGACTATGTCGTCCCTGGTTCGGTCTGAGTCTATTTGCTTTTGGTACAGTTGTCATAGTTGTTACTTGTGTCTTACACAGTATTTTGTGCGCAATGATGAATCAATGTATGGCTAATCGCTTGCAAATGTTCGATTAATGCACGACTATTACTCCAACAATTTAACAATTATTGCAATAATTGTCCTTATTAGCAGGCTGACTAATCTAATGCCAATAATTCACTAATGAGATGTAATTATTGCTAATTATGTCTCATTAGCACAGGGGAGATTTCCTGATTAGTAGGCAGGTTGCCATTATGTGGGGTGCAAGAATGTCACAAGCATTACATCTCTTGACATGAGATATGAAGCTGGCTGAATAGCTGACTGATAGGCGTGGCCAACGTTTGCCAGATGCACCCTTCCTCAATGAGCTTGAGGCCCTCTAAACTGCGCTCTGTCCGGAACATACTTGCGACGCTATGGGATAAAAACCGGTACTGGAATAGCGAAAAGCCATCGGCAATGACTCAAGCTAGTGATGAGACTCGCAGTTCAGTGAGCACAACTGCTCTGGGCCGAGAATATTTTGAGCGGTGCTTCTCCATCAAGTCGATGGCGGCCTTTAAAGAACTGACAGCCAAGGCTGAATTGATTAATTTTTGAAGGCAGAATATGTCACCTGAAATGCGGGGCATTGTTGAGCTCGATGGAGCGTTATAGATGGATTGTATTCCCCATATTTCCATGAAGACCTTGTGTTTGGTTTCTGTGGGACCTGATGAATATCTCCTAGGATCGGAATCCTCTTCGCACCAGGTGGTAGCAGGGACCCGTTTGCTTGTATAGCATCCATATGTGATAGCAACGAGACTCAGTATATGCATAAAGGTCCTAGGATCGCGGGTTGGGATTCAACTTGAAGGTACACTGTAAGCATGACGCCAATTTCCAGTATAGTAGACAAGCGAAATATACTTGAGAAAAGTGACAACACCAGATTCCGGGCGCGCGTCATGGAGAGTCATGATAACTCCCTGTGCAGCCGTGGTTCAAGTGACTGAATAACCAGGCGAAGCGGTACGGTCGGAACAACGTTTGATTTAATGCCACGCTGTGGTCACCCTGAGTCGGACAGCTAGAGCGGCACCCGTCGCATAGGCCGTTCTGACTATGCAAGGCAGGGGGTGCATTCAAACTAGAACAACTGAACAGTAAGGAATAAAGGCAGGAGGCGGAGACTTCGTATATCTATAGGAAGACGCGCAAAGCACTGTCTAAAAACCCACCGCTCCCACTCAGACAGATTGTCCACCTGATTGAAGAGAGAAACATATGAAAAGTCAGTCCGAGCTCCATTCGCACCACTTTGTGATGCGGAGACATGCATGCGTTAAGAGATGCATCATGAGATAAACACGACTGCTAGAAGTCAATACTCAATGAATTGCAACCTTCGGAAGTGACCGAGCATGTGCGACGCGCTGGCCGCCAGCGCCACACGCCATTTGCTAGTTACCATCAATTCCGAGTTTGCTGCGAACCAATTGCGAACCGTCATACTGTTCTCATTGGTAAGGTCTGCCAATATACCCTCCTCCTCATTCCCTTAGCAGGCAGCGGCATGGCAGTTCCCTCCAAGACTCTTCGTGCAGATGAGCGCAACTCTGAGGAGACAAGACTGTGTCGGAAAACACGATCGTTGTGAAGTCAGCCCGAGATGAATTTTGACATTTGTATCTGCTTAATTCCATCTAGCCCCACTTGTGCTTGATGTTCTGATGGCCTGTTCCCTGCCAATGATCCGAGTAGACAGGTTCAATTCATTTTCGAGATGTCATCATACCCACCATAGCTTCTCTAGATTGTGACCCATTGCTCCGTACCCTAAAGCTGCAGCGCTATGTCACGATGCAGTGCCAACGGAGCGCCAAACTGCGTTATATATATCTTTGCAGAGGGGCTCTGAGTTGGCGCACTGCTGGAACTCGCAAGGACTCTTCCTCACAACTCACCATACGGTGCCCACGATGATCAAGGCTGGCTTACTAGCTGTCCTCCAGTTGCTGCTGTTGGCGCCGGGCCGCCCCGCTTCAGCAGCCTCTCCCCCGACCGTGGACTTGGGCTATGCTCAATATCAGGGCGCTGTAGATAGTACTACCAACATTACAAGCTTCCTCGGCATCCGTTATGCCTCACCTCCCGTCGGTGCGCCCAGTGTATGTGCTGCGCTTTCTACTCCCCGCTCACTTTTTGTAGGCAACTTGCGATGGGTAGAGCCGCAGCCCCCACCGACGTTGTCCGGTGTACAGCAGGCCACTGAACAGCCGAACGAATGCTATCAAGGTGCGATGGGCAACTCTTCGACTGATCCTGTCACAGGCTCCCTGGGCAAACGCGCAGTAAGCCAATCGGAGGACTGCTTATTTCTCAAGTGAGTATACCTGACTATCCGTGCGGTTTGAAGATTTCATTGATGTAGCGGAACAGCGTGTACGTCCCGGGCAATACAATTACTACTGCGACATCTGGCGGTCTTCCTGTTCTCGTTTGGATCCATGGAGGAGGGTATGGACGGACGCGTTATTTGTTGCTGAAGAATACTCAGCTTTGATGCTCTCAGATATACTCTTGGTTCCGCGAGCGCGTTCAATGGCGCGGACTTGATTATGCATTCCGATCACGATCTTATTGTGGTGATCATCCAGTATCGACTTGGCCTGTTTGGCTTCTTGGCTGGTGAGGCTGTCAAAGCAGGCGGTGCTTTAAATGCTGGGCTACGTGCGTTTTTCTGCATTAACTAAAATCAAAACAACGGTAACCTATGTCTTGTAGTCGATCAAAACTACGCCCTGCAATGGGTACAATCACACGTTAGTCTGACTTGTCGCTTCCAGTGGCATACCGATCATGTACCTTGGGCATTGTGTAGATCAACACCTTTGGCGGCGACCCATCACAAGTTACGATCTGGGGTGAATCCGCAGGTTTGTCGAACATCATCGTGTCATCTAACGACGGGACACATGGTAACATACATTTACGTAGGTGCTGGCTCCGTCTTGCAACACCTTGTCGCACATGGCGGGAAAACCCCACC